TGCGGTCGGTCGGTTATGAGCCAATGACCGCCAATAACCGACCGATAACCGACCGTGACCGACCGGACCCACCCCTACGTGTGTGGGATTAGACGTGTAAATTAACGGTGCCACCTCTAATAAGCAGTAGTTCTACAGGAATTACCGGTACTAAAATTTATCGGGTAGGAGCCGGATATGGCTGAATATTGCACTATGGTCTCTCTTTCCGCTCCAATCCTATCAATACAATTCCGTTCCCAACGGATGGTAAATGCTAGTTACGTATATGACCGTGTAAAAAATGTATAAAAAAGGTCCATTCTGTTTAATTTTGTCTAATTTCATTTTACACGTCTAACACAAGTATTATATAATTCCTTTTTTTATAGGATTGCTAAGTTGGCTCAAAGAACCAATTCCAAAAAGTTTTAACAGCCCTAATTTCCTGTCTGCATCTGTTTAGAAAACAACTACAAGTAATGCAATCTACTAGTTTTTTTTATGTGTTATATGTTTTATATAAAGAGATTAAGACTCTAGCATGCTATATAAAATTTTTTATTAACTGGTTCATCATGAAAGAATCTTATTATCTTGTCAAATCGTGTTTATTCTTTATATTGCTTAACTTTCCAATTATAACCATATTAACGGTTTCGAACTTGTACATTACACCAAACACTACTATATATACAAACTTTAACTATCTTATGCAATTGACATCCAATTTTATGTTGACGGAACAATCTTGTTAGAAATAATAATACTGAGCATTGTTTCGGACCCATCTTACGTATAAGAATTATTCATTTAAATGGTTCCGTCACTGAAATTAATAATGATTTAAATCTTGTTTCTGTGAATTATTGTTTATTTAACGACATGCTTACTGGCGAAATCATGAATCCTATCTCAATACGACCTTTAAAGCAACCATTTATATTAGTGAGTTATATGGAAACGGATTATTCATATGGAAAATGGTACCAATGGGGAACTGTTCTTAATTGGAATGAAGGTCCGATGATAATTTATGTTCCGAAATACTTAAAGGTTTTTAATAATGAACTACTGTCAACATTATTATTTATTTATTCTAAATTACTAGTTCCATTTCTCTTGGAGTATCCTCTATTTATGGTTTATGCCTCTGAGAAAATTTTTTGCCCTATTAAAAGTTTAATTGAAATAAACATAAACAAGGAACTATTCCTTCACGTAAATTCCTATGGAAATTCCATCGGTGTCTCGCAATATTCAGTGTATTTAATCTCCTATAATCCTCTTATTTTTTTTATTTAATCAATAAAATTAACTATTGTAATTAATTATAGTGATGTTAATGGAAATTTATCATATGATGCATTGTTCTATCAGAGTCCGATCCAACCACTAATTATACCCTTTTTACGTCACTGGCCACCGTTGATGAAAGTTATGAAATATTGTATGCCAAATATTCAAGAAATGAAAGCAATTTTATGAGTCCACTTGGTGGACTGTACGCTGGCTTTATAGCTTACAACAAAACTTTAATGAGCATTTCTGTTCTTCTCTTTCCAATAACTAGACCTAAAATGAAAGTTAATGCAGTTCATTGTAATGCACATTTTGGATTTTGTTACTACTGTATTGCATCCATCATCTACAACAACACAGTGTACTATGAAGAAATTCAATTTTGTACAGAAAATTTTTAAGTTCGAATTAGTTAATCCAAACTTCCAACGACATTGGTATGCCCTGGAATGTGTTTTCAACACCTACTGGCGGATATATATTTTCTGCTGTTAACGCCACCACTTGTTTATTTATATTTATGAATTTCCTTCTTATATTTATAATTTGAATTCAAAAGTTAATTTGATTAATTTGACGTATTTTAATATAACTGGTGTTAATGCATATGGCTTCTTGAAACATAATAATACTCTTTTATTCTCTCTACAAGATACAAATAGTAAAAATATCTCTTGGTCTTTGCTTGCTGTTCAATTGCCTAAAATTCCAGATATTATGTTTATAAATGCTTATTCATAAATGATATCCTTACTTATTCATAAATTCATACTTATTTATTATTCATTATTTTATTCGCATTAATTTGGAGGGTGGTAAGTATAAAGACGATTTACAATTATAAATACTTATTCATAAATACTCTTTTCTTATTCATTATATTATCCGTATTAATTTAGAGGGTGAGTATAATGACGATTTATAAATCGATATAATTAACATTATAAAATTATTCTCTTATTTATAAATTCTCAAATAATTTATTCATTATTTCATTCACATTAATTAGATTGTGGGTATAATGCTATTTATAAATCGATGAACTAAAATCATGAATAAATAATTATTCAGAATAATCCTCCTTATTATTGTTTCATTCGCATTAATTTAGTCTGTGAGTATAAAGATGACTTATGAATCGATGGAATTAAAATCATGAGCATAAATATTTATTCATTAATACTCTTTCTAATTCATAAATTCGTAAACTTTCCTTATTGTTTCATTCGCATTAATTTAGTCCGTGAGTATAAAGATGACTTATGAATCGATGGAATTAAAATCATGAGAATAAATATTTATTCATGAATACTCTTTCTAATTCATTATTCATTCGCATTAATTTAGCTGGTGAGTATTAAAATGATTTATAAATCGATAGAATTAAAATTATCATAAATTATATAACATAAATACTAATTCATAGACGATACAGTAATTATAGTCATTTGGGTTAGATTTAGAATTATTGTTAATATTAATGCAATTCATAAAAAACATGTCGTTGAAATTAGCTGTCAGCAAAATATACTGTCTGTTAAGTGAACTTTTCTGTGAATTAATCGTCGGTAGGTCCATAAATTAATTGTCGGTAAACTAAGTTGTCCGTGAAGTGATTGTCGGTGAAATTAAACATACCATCTATTTTATCTATTTTATTTTTTAAATCATTTAGTTTATAGAGCACGTCCTTCAGGTACTGTATTGATATTATATTTATGCACAATATGTTTCACACGATTCTAATTATATTTCCTTGTAGAAATTGCTCTACGGATTTAGCAGTTCTCACTATAGATGCCTCCAAAAAATTTCTAAAATCTTCTAGAAACAATCAGTCGGAATATTTCGATACTCTATTAGATGAGCTTGCTCATAAAATACCAGTCAAGAGGGAATGTTTAATTTCAAATAAGAAGTTCCATTATTTCGACGAATTTGGTCAAATCGCCATTTCAATTCGTATAGATTTGCCAACTAATGAAACTGAAAATACAGTTCCGGGAGTATTTTCAAATTCAAATAATATGATTCTTTACAAAGGAATCACCATTTTCCACACCGGTGTGACAAATGATTTAAACTTGATTTTTGGCTTTCAACCACAAGGTGAGTCGATAATTATATTCCAAATATTAATATTAACGAATGAATCACACGACTAATTTCCCTATAATAAAAGGTCCATGGGATAAATTCAAATTACAAATAATTGCTGTAATTGCAATTTTTGTAATAATATGTTTATTTTATCACATATTGAATTATAAACTACACTCAAAAAAATTTAAAGCAATAAGTTCTGCAATATTAAGGTTTGGATTAATCATCCCTAATTTTATTCTTTCAATTCTCTTTATCGTTTACAATTCTAATGATATAAAAGAGCTTTATTTACCAAGGTATTCCTAATCAAATATGATTAAATTTGTGTTGAATTTTTTATTACCTTATTTTTAATTCTTGCTAAATCAACAAACGCACGAAGTGTGTTCTTTTTTAGTGTTTCGATACTCGCAAATTTAAGTATAGTTATTTATACTTTCTATAATGGAATTACAATCCTGTCGTTGGAAAAGAATTTTAAGAATGGGTTAAACATAAACAAGAATTAGTGGCTATATTCACTATATTAGCAACAACTGATTATGAGTATCTGATAATTTTGAAAGATGTGCCTACATTTAATAATGTAACAATTGATTATAAGTATCTAACAATTATAAAAGATGTAACCAAAGAAGAAATCGACGATTATTTAAAGATTTTAGAAAAAGTGCCTATATCTGATGAATTTAATAAATTAATATATTAAAGACTTTGAAAGACGTGCTGCCCAGATTTGATGAATCTGATGAATCCTGTGAATCTGATGTGTCTGGTGTATCCAATGAAATCGAACAAATTAAAAATATAATCAAACAATTTAATACATTTAGGAAAATATTTAGATTCACGATTATATGTGGAACCTTCTTTGATATTTTTTTAGAAATATTACACAGATCATTATTCAAGTGAAGATTATCATTATATTTATTTATGAAGCTTTAGTTTTATTAACCAATTCGTTTTTGTGTATTTAAATATCTTATTCTTAAGGTCATTTACTATAAATCCGTTGTGATATATAAATTGGTGCCATTCCTTTTAGTAATCTCTTCTTGGCTTAAAATTTTCATGATAATAATTAGGTGTATGTACAAAAAAGCAATGTTGTACATTTTTCAGTGAGTATAAATTTTTTTTAAAACCAGCATTTATCATTACATTAATTGTGTCCTAATCAAATGAATCATTAGGAGGTTAGCATAAATCTTTATACCCATTTATTGAAATTAATTTTTACGTTATAACTTACTTTAACATACTAAATGATGCATGCATTAAAGGGAATAAGTATTAAAGGTTGCTTTATTAAATTTGCATATAATAATTATATCCTCTAATCGATTATACGAATATTTTAAATTTCCGGCTTGTGAGTACCGTATAAACTTTATTGCAAATTATTCATTAAATATTAATTTAGCATTAATTGATTACATGTTTTTAATAGGAGGTGAGTAAATTTAAATTTTTTTTTATAGATAGGGATTCAAATTCATCATTATTAATTAGGCGCTTCTATTTATTTACATGCCAGTATTGCTGTTAATACACTTTACTCTTTAATTTTCATAAGTTTAAAAAACTAATAAACTAATACAAGTCTAATACATATTATTTATCATAAAAGGGATAGTATTTGTGGAAAATACGAGTTTTGTGCATAAATTGTGATCCTGAGAAAGAAACTCAAGGATGGACAAGTGGCAATAACGATATTGATGAAGAAATCAAAAAGTTTCAACGTGGATCCACGAAATACGATAAAGTTATTGAATGGATTCCATATGATAACTTTAAAAAAAATTGAAAAGTTTAATGGATGGAAATAATTTAAAAGAAATTGATGAGAAATAGTTTTATTTATGGCAATTGGATGAATGGTATACGAACAATTAAATATGTGTTATAAAGAAAGTAAGTTGATTTTTCACAATGCTATTAATTTACTGCACTGAATAATATAAGATTATTAAACAAAGGTTGTATCTTGTAAGTTTAATGAAATGATGAAAGGGAAGTATAAAATATATGGAATAACTAGAGATGAGACCGAACAATATATGGTTGACCTTGATTATTATTCTAACAAAAGAGATATCAATAAATATGAAGAGTGTAAGGGATGTAATCGACCTAATACCAATTCAGAATGATGTCAATCGTGTGATCCTTCTAAGGAGGTAAACTATAATAAACCATTAAATGATAATGATGAAATTAATAATTGTATCAAAAGTTTTCAACTTAAAGCTGTGGATTACGACAACGTTATTGAACGGATTCAATACAATGATTTAACAGAAATTAAAAAGATTAAATGGATTCCAATTGATGGAAATAATTTACAAGAAATTGATGAGAAATTAGATTTCTTTATGGCATCTTGGAAGATACAAACAATTAAAAATGAATCTGGAAGATATGCACGTTCGCGAACTAATTCACGAGTTGATCTTATAAAATTGCACAATTCTCAAACAACCACTTTGGATTTTATAAAGAAAGTAAGTTAAATTGTTCAATATTTTATTAATTTACTGCATTAAATAACGTAAGACTTCTAAAACAACACACATATCTTGTAAGCTTAATGAAATGATGAAAGAGAAATATAAAATATATGGAATAACTAGAAATGAGACTGAACAATACATGATTGTCCTTGATTATTATTTTAACAAAAGAGATATTAAAAAATATGGAGAGTGTAAAGAATGTAAGCGACCTAATACCAATCC